CAGGGCTATTATGATAGGAAGATCAAATATTATGATAGATCAAGCAATGCTGAATTCTTGGAGGAATCACAGAGATTACTGCCAACTCTTCTGGAAGATTAAGGAGTACACTATTTAACCCACTTTATTATATAAGATGTCTTAGAAAAAATAGCAATGTAATATTTTAAATTACTCTGATTGCAGCTGCAGTTCCAAATATAGTCTCTTTATTAGAGTAGATCAATATAGCCCCTAGAATTTGGTATGTGGCTATAAATTTGGCAATGTTATTTTCTCTATCCCAATAATGAGAAAACACTGGAAGCAGTTTGCTTTCACCTGCCAAGGAGAACAGTATTCCTTCAATGTCTTATCTTGGTTTTATGACAACTCTGATTTGCTGTCTCAACTTAGTATACAAAGACTGTATACTATCTCACCATCCCATAGATGACATTCTGGTCTATACATTGATGACATCATGCTGATAGGATGGTAGGTGAACAGGATACTCTAGATGCCTTGGCAAGTCATCCATACCATAAGCTTAGAGATAAACCCTACAAAAATTCAGCGGCCTATCTCCTCAGGGAAGCTTCTGGGGTCCAGCAGTCTGGAGCATATCAGAACATACCCTGCAAAGTAAAAGTCAAGCTGCTGTACATCGGCACACCCTTCCGCTCTGAGACACATGACTTGGCCAGCTTCTTTGGATTTTGGAAGCAAGATACAACAGAGTAGGTATGCTACTCTGATCCATTTATTGTGTAACCCATAATACTTCTAGTTCTGAGTGGGGCTCAGAACAAGGGAAGGCTGGTTGTGGCCACAGTACAAACATCTTTGTGATGTGGGTGTGCTGAAGTGTCTGTGTCAGATTATTGTACAGTGCCTGGTCCAGGCAGGTCTTGATAAGGACAATCATGACGCAGGCCTCTGGGATTGGAACATACCAGGCACATTCCTACTTGAGGGACTTTGCACATGCTGCTTGTTCTGTCTGGGATGCCCTTCCATCAGAGAGCCACATGGCTTATCTCCTCAAGTACCACCTCCTTAGTAACATCTCCCCTTATAAATGCAAATGTCCTTTACAAAGAGTAACTTTTACTTCGTTTTCAGAGCTTCTTTCATGTACTAGAATTTAATATCCATAGGTGTATATTATAGGTTCTATTGAATGAATTTTTCTTTCTAAAATCACCCTTATTTTTACCAAAGATAGCCAAATTAAGACTAATTTATTTGCAAAATAAGTCAATAAACTTGGCTTGATTATTTATATAAGTACAATAAGGATAGCAATTGATCATATAGGCTCTTTTAAATCTTGCTTTGCTGGAATTTTTCACAAAGAATCTTGGGATTGAAGTTACAAGGTCTCTCAAAGCCAGAAAAGCCAAGCCAAAAGACTTGCCATGACTTTGCCTGCAATTCCTTTAGTTTGGGTTATTTCCTCACGTCTCAAAAGTCCCCCAAATATTCTGAAGTTCCTGTACTTGCCAGGAAGTAACCTTTATTATTCACCTGGCAAGTTGCTTGGAACCCTGTAAGCAAGGTACCAGGCTGATTTTTCAAAGAGTTCTATTGGCTCCCAAAGTCAACCCTAGTTCCTTAGAGTTGTCTGGTAGTATCCACAACTATATATGTCTTTCTCAAATATGACATTCTAGACAAAGCTTTGGTAATATGACCAGTTTCCAATTGTGTTCTGTGACAAGGATTACAGATTCTTATTGAATTTATGCAAAGAACAATATTACCATGAAAATAAGAATATTCGCTGATCCAGTAGGAGTTTTTGAATTATGGAGGGATAAGGTAGAGAGAAAAAGACATAGGTTTCAATTCTGTTTACAAAGGTATAATTTACCAAATTGCTCTAAGTCATAGATCGTTTAAGAGAAACAAATTTCCCTATATCTGGAAAACAAAAATTTTTTAAATGAGCACTATTTCAAAGAAAAGCCATAAAAATTATAATCATCTTCATCAGTTTATTCAGTCCCATATAACCAATCTTTGTTTATATTGAACTTCTGTTGGCAGATTTATGAAACCATCAGTTCTACAAACTTTTACCCAGTTCAATGGCATAATCTAAAAGTTTATCAGAAACTTGTATTTTAGAGTGTCAGAGTCCTCTCCGTGAATCTCTCTCTAAATGACAAAGACTAAAATGCCCACCTATAGTTAAGGGTCAGGTGAGAGTTCATTATAATGCAGTCAATAAGGAAATTTGCTTATTTCTGTGGCACACAACATTTATATATATATCAAATATCTATATATATGATATATATCACTTGTAATAACATTATACCAGGACATATCAGAATTTTAGAAGATCCATACAATTTTGGAACTTATATTAATATTTGCCCATACAATATACCATAGAAGTTTATCTCACTTATTTGACAACCCTTCTCATGCAATTCAACACACCAAACAAGCCTAATTTGTTTAATATTTAATATTTGAGAGAGAGAGAAAGAAAGGCGGGGCGGGGGGGATAGAGGGACGGAGAGAGAGAGAAATTCTTTGAAATGTTCCAAGGGCTGTCTTTAGGAAATCTCAGTTATTTTTAGGTTAAGAAAAAGACTCTATTTAAAACTTAAATTTTGAGAAGTCTGTCAAAAATATATCAAAAGGTTTTTAAAACACTTGACTAAATAGGATCATAGGTCATTATGAAACAATACTTAATTATTCATTTTAATTAAAGTGAGGATAAAAGATTTTAAGACAAATAAAGAACGCTGCATCATTGTTACCAAAACTTAGCTCTTACTATTGAGTAGATTCCGTTTTCTTAAGTAATCGAGGACCTCGTTAAACAACACAAAACACAGAAAATTATTTTGATAAAACACAGAATCTTTGCTTTCTAGGCAAAAAAATCTTTTCACAACATCTTATCAGGAGCAGATCAACAGTCTCAGAAAACATTGTACTTTTATTAGATGAAAGATTAAGTTTTAGCTTTGCACAAACACACCATTGATATTAAAGCTTAATTTTTTAAATGCTTATACAGTTCAATTTTAGCCAGCTTGATTACACAAGGTAAAATTTTCTTTCACTTTTCGTACACCCTTAATTTGCCCTTTTAACCAGAAATTCTAGCTTAGACAATATTACTCTCATTTTCCTTAACAAAATGTAACTCCATACCTCGTACCATCTTTTACTGAAAATATGTTATTTCTTTACATTCAAAGTTGTTTCCCCATTTTTCCTAACAGTCTCAATTACATATATTGGCATTTTTAACCCTTAAAGCTGTAATTTCTAATGAAAATGAAGTAATTAGCATTCTTCAGACTAGCAAATTGTAAATACATTTCATAACCTCTAGAAACATAGGCTCTTTAACTGGAAAATATATTTAATAATTTTTAGAAAGATATACTTCCTCAACAAAGCATAAGACATATTCATTAACAGATACACATTTATCTTATGGTCTCTCTGTAATACAAAGCCCAAAATAGGTAAACTTGGACTTACTTAGCAATTAATGTTTCAGTATTTTACCTTGTTTGGAAATTATCTGAATACTCAATAATTTCCATCACTAAACTCAACTTAGCAAAACTCTTAAGGTTTCAAATTGCCAAAAGATTTTGGGTTTTGGGAAACCATTTTTAAATACATAAACCATAACATATACACGTTGCTAACAAGCTTTACCTAAAACCCTTTATTCTACTGCCATCTATTTATTAATCCTTAACAATTGTTTATTCATGAAAACTTCATGTTAGACCAAGTCAGCCATCATTTTGTTATTTTTGCTGACAAATTTCTAAGCCTAAAAAGTATTATCCACTTGATAACTCTATTTCTGTTTTAATTAAACCAACAAATTTAAATTAAGTTTAGTTCCGAATATTTTTCCCAAATCACATGAACGTGAAAAGCATTTGGGTTAGTTTCTATATTTCTGAGATGTTCTGAATACCCAAATCTTAATTTATATAAGTGTTTGCTTGTTTTTAAGCAAATTAAATAGAGCTCTTTTATAAATTAGCAATACCATTGGGGGACAGAAAAATATGTATCTACAACACACACACACATACACACTTGAACATCTAAACAGTGAAGAAAGGCCTGGTATAGTGAGAAAAACACTGTTACAAATGGGATTCCTCTCTTAAATGTAATTGTCCTTCAAGAGTTACTTGTAACTCTTTTCAGAGCTTACAAGTAAGCTATTATTATTTGAAAACCTTACAGGTAAGGTTTTCAGAGCTTCTCCCATGTCTATTTCTTAAAATTAACCAGTCTAAAATATCCCAAAGAGGTACATTTGGTGGTGGCAAACTCTGCTCTCCTTTAGCAGCAAGAACCATTCAAATTCAATTTGATACGGAACCAAGAAAACAGTTCTGCAATATTGCAATATTAGGGATATCGCAATAACTGTGATGTATAATTACTATATGAATATTTAATGTATAGTATTAACCAGTTAATTAACAATAAACTATTATTTTAGGTATTTCTCTAGTAAGTTTCTTAACCCCTCTAAGCCTGGATTTCTTTATCCGTAAGAAAAGTAAAAGTAATTATGGAACCTTAGAGTTGCTGAGAGGATTAAATGGGGTAATGCACTATATATAGGCTGGCTATCCTTTGCAGGTAAACAGTAATTTCTATTATTGACATTTTCTAAAACCCATATTTCTGGCATACGCAAAGCTCAGAAGAGGAAAAAGAGCAGGGAGTCAGCACTACTACTTCTCGCGGACTCCGTTACTAATAAACCTCCTTTGCCAGTGTCCCGAAAGCGCCGCGCACACCTCGGCGTGGGGGGGAGGGAGAACCTTGGCGTCGGGGGGCGTGCTTTTGCAGGTCAAGGGTTTGGGAGAGTTTCGTTGTGTAGCCTGAAGTCACCTGACGTCTTCCCGCCCAGTAGACCACACGGTCACCCCGCCCTGGTCGTCCCTAACTTTCTAAACACCTCGGTCCGGACTGTGGCGGTGAGACGCAAGCAATGTTTACAAATCGCTACCCAAAGCTAAAGGGATGAACTAACTACAAGCGCCTCCCGCTGCCGCCGGGGGCGCAGGGGAGCCCAGCAGCGACGGTGTCGCAAAAGCGTCGCGAAGACGTCCGTCCGCCCTTGGCGGCTCCAGGCCACCTGTATAAGAGAACGTGCTGGGGTTTGAAAACAAGTATGGAGGTTGGGGAGGTCCCAGGAGGATTTGGGTATTCGAGAGAAAAGCGGCTCTTTAGTGCCCCAGGCTGCTGAGCTCTCGGTGCCTGTTTTTGTGCGGCGCGGCCGCAGGGCCATGCTGGCCTCGCGTGTGGCGCGCGGCTCGTGGGGAGCCTTGCGCGGCGCCGCATGGGCTCTGAGGGCGCGGCGGGGCAAGGAGAGCGCCCTAGGGCCCCTGCTGTCGCCCGCGCCTTGGTGCCTGGGGTTCCTGGCAGAGCGCTGGTGGCTGCGCCCCGCCGCGCTCGGCCTGCAGCTGCCTGGGGCATTCTCGCGGGGTCGCTGCTCAGGCGCGGGGAAGGCGACCCCCGGGCCCACTGCCGGAGGCGGTGCGGCCGCCGAGGCCCGGGGCGGCCGGTGGGGCCCGGCGAGCGCCGCCAGCCTGGTACGTACGGAAGAGGAGGGGCGACCCAGGGTTGGGTGCCGGCTCTGCGGGGCTCAGTCCTGGATGCGAATAAGGATCTCTGGCAGGTCCGGGTGCTTCCTTCTCAGAACTTTTAAAACGTTACCTGAAGCGAAGTTACGAGAAGGTTATTCGGTTGGGATGAATTTAAGGGGTACCAACCGGGTCCACCTTCAGTCTCGGTGGTCAGGTTAAAATCCTCTTCTATCCGCACCAGTTGGTGGACTGGCCCCTGGATATTGCATTGGTAAAAATAACCTTCACTTGTTTTATTGTTAAAAGCCTATTTTTAATTTTATGAGGGGACTCCCTAAATTTAGGGCAAGTTTGGGAATCATCAGAAAGTTATACAGGCCTTTTTGTTTGCTTGTGCAGGTTCGATTCGCTATTATTTGACATTTGGCAACCTTACATATAAGGTGAAGGATAAATAATTTATGTCGTAATTAAAAGATCCTTTAACCTCTAATTACAGGAAAAGATTAAAACTCTCTTTTTGAGATAATGGAGGGAAATACTTGTCCACTTACCTGTTGAAATACTACCCAAGTAGAAGACACCAGAGCATAAATGTGGGAGAGCTTTTGATGTCATGTTAGCAAGACTCATGCAATTATTACATCTTCAATTGTTAGGTCTTCAGTGGGCCCTTGTACTGCTTTCATCTGTTGTACAGCATGGCTTGAGGTGGCCACATCCTGGCAGGGGTCTCAGCTCCACTAATAGCTAAAGCATGTTAGGGTTGGAATGCTGGATGCTTTGAGGTTGCCATATGCTGGCTGAAGTCCTTCCCAGAATGGCAGTAGTTGGTCGAGTATGCCACAGGTTATCTGGTTGGGTAATCTGAGATTAGCTCTCTTAATTTTAATTTAGAAACTTTCAGATTGAAATGGTTAGAAATTAATGAGTTACTTTATTTAACTGAAATAGTTTATGTGGAGTTTAAAAGAACCCCTTTCACTGTCTGAACAACATTCTATCTGGTTTATTAATTCAAATGAAATGATTTGGCTTTTTGCAACTTTGTGTTTAATTTTGCCCCATGGATATCTCTGAGATTAATTTTGGGCCTCTTCTTCTGACCCTTTGCTTTGTTACTTTTCTCAGTCGAACTATCTTTTTCACTCTGTGAGTTGCTGTAATATTGAATCGGTATTTGACTTATTCTTCACCACAGTATAGTCAGCAGAGTGACCTTTTCTCCGGATTCTGAAACACTGTCACCTTTGAACTTGAGTTTGGAATATGTTCCAAGAATGTTTCTATTTAATTATGGTGTGTAATGTGGTCTCCTTTTAATAAAAGGTCCCTGAGTAGAGGTTTGTGTTGCCGCTTGTTTGGTGATTGTTTCCTGGAGAATTTGAAGTTTTTCTGTGGCTTTCGATGACAGTATTCTGCCACCTGACCCCAGTAACCCCATTATTCCTTCAAACTGAGGTGAACATTTCTTGCGGGGTTCTGTTTAAAAACACAAACTAAGTATCTTTGGTGAACTCTTTCTTACAGGATTATTCATGGAATTTTAAAAGAAGTCTTTCGAAGTAGAAACTCACTTTTTTAGAAAATCAAGATTAAGATTCAGGCAAATTGGTTACCATTTAAGAAAGGTCATCTAGGGTTAGTTTTGTGCAGAGATAGTCTCATGGGGTAGAATTGGCAGTCTCAAGTCAGTGGAGAAAAAAATCCAGGCTTAGGAAAATACATTTTCTTATTATTTCTGTACCCCATTGTGCTGGGTGTCTTAGCTTCCTTAGGCTGAGGCTTTTTAAAGTTGAAATACCCTTTCATGAAACAGATTATGTTTGGCAAGGAAAGAATGTTCTTCAGAGGAGCTGCCAAGAAGTCCTTGTGTTAGTGTCAACTTCAAACAGCTTGGCTCCAGATGAAGTTTCAAGGAATCGTAAAGCTCTCTCAGGGGAGGTGTGAAAGCTCTTGGTTTCTTGTTGGGGATCTTACTATTTCTATGGCTATTTTGAATATATTACTGAATTTCTCTTTATTTCTTAAGGATCTCAATCCTTATTTCTAGTTCCATTTTCTTCCCGCAGTTCTCCAATTTAGTAGTGAGGTTATGGAATTGAATGTTTTTTTTTTTCTTGTCGTTCGTATTTCCATACACTGTAGAGTAGTAGTCTTTTGATGGGAATCTGTAGGGAAGTGAGGGAGGTTATTTACAATAAGTATTTTTAAGCCAAAATGCCCAAGGTTTATTGTTGTTGTTGTTTTCCTGACATTTTCTAGACTGTCTACTTGATCAGTGTTTTAAGTTTTGAATTCTAATGGTGGAGTCATATATCAAAGGCTTGACTTATGTGGTAGAGAATATGTTTGTTCTTTTTCTCTCTAGGAAGAGAATCTATTGTATATATAGTAGACACTTTAGTCTACGGTTGGGTACATGACAGATCATTTGTATCCTTTGCAGTTTTAGAGCACATCTGTAAAAAACAGAATGGATATAAAAACTCAAAGTACTAAATTTAAAGTTTATACAGCTTCTAACTCTTAAGTTGATAAAGTGAATTCTTCCAATGTATATAGTTATTTAAAGTATGAATTTATAGCATTTAATTTAAATTTTGTTGCATTTGTGTTTCAGTATGAAAACCCATGGACAATCCCAAATATGTTGTCAATGACGAGAATTGGCTTGGCCCCAGTTTTGGGCTATTTGATTATCGAAGAAGATTTTAATATTGCACTAGGAGTTTTTGCTTTAGCTGGACTAACTGATTTGGTAAGTTGTACAGGCATTCCCTCTGTTTTGTTCCCCTTCCAAATCCCAGGACCTCTACTACACTGAAATAGCACGGCCTTAGTTTGCTTTTCTTTGTAAGGAAATCCTCAAGATGAATTTCACCTGATACTTTGCATAGGGACTTGTCTTTAGCATCTATGTGGGACTCTGTTATTCTTTATGTCATTTAAGGAAGGTAGTAGAGATTGTCGGGAGGCATGAGAGGGAGCTTTTTACTCTTGATTTTTAACTTTTTCATAAAAGAAAAACTCTTAGAAATTCCCGAAGAGCCAGGTATTTGTGTTAGAGATAGACATACTCTACGGCCATGCCACCTTGAACAAGCCCAATCCCATCTGATCTCAGAAGCTAAGAAGGGTCGGGCCTGGTTAGTACTTGGATGAGAGACCACCTAGGAAGACCAGGTGCTGTAGGCATACAAAATAAAAAAATAAGGGATTGTAAGCTGACAAGGTCCTTGCAATCTGTGAGGTCACCCAAGAATTGCCTCACCTAAAAGACAAAGAATAAGGAAAGAAAGAAATGCCTTTCCCAGCGTGCCACCAAGAGGGGGCTGGGATTCAGCGACGGGGTCCGGCCTTGCTGGCATGTAAACTCAGTCCACAAACAAAGAAGAAGTAGAACGAGGGTTTGATGGTTAGATTGGACCCCTCGGTAAAATTATTTGTGACCAAGGAAGAGACTCAGAGAGCCACACGAGAGTCCGGGATTTAGGTTACCCTTTGGATCCTGAGGGCCCGGTGGAGGTGACAGCAGTCTAGTCTTTGTGTTTAATTTTGCCCCATGGATATCTCTGAGATTAATTTTGGGCCTCTTCTTCTGACCCTTTGCTTTGTTACTTTTCTCAGTCGAACTATCTTTTTCACTCTGTGAGTTGCTGTAATATTGAATTGGTATTTGACTTATTCTTCACCACAGTATAGTCAGCAGAGTGACCTTTTCTCCGGATTCTGAAACACTGTCACCTTTGAACTTGAGTTTGGAATATGTTCCAAGAATGTTTCTATTTAATTATGGTGTGTAATGTGGTCTCCTTTTAATAAAAGGTCCCTGAGTAGAGGTTTGTGTTGCCGCTTGTTTGGTGATTGTTTCCTGGAGAATTTGAAGTTTTTCTGTGGCTTTCGATGACAGTATTCTGCCACCTGACCCCAGTAACCCCATTATTCCTTCAAACTGAGGTGAACATTTCTTGCGGGGTTCTGTTTAAAAACACAAACTAAGTATCTTTGGTGAACTCTTTCTTACAGGATTATTCATGGAATTTTAAAAGAAGTCTTTCGAAGTAGAAACTCACTTTTTTAGAAAATCAAGATTAAGATTCAGGCAAATTGGTTACCATTTAAGAAAGGTCATCTAGGGTTAGTTTTGTGCAGAGATAGTCTCATGGGGTAGAATTGGCAGTCTCAAGTCAGTGGAGAAAAAAATCCAGGCTTAGGAAAATACATTTTCTTATTATTTCTGTACCCCATTGTGCTGGGTGTCTTAACTTCCTTAGGCTGAGGCTTTTTAAAGTTGAAATACCCTTTCATGAAACAGATTATGTTTGGCAAGGAAAGAATGTTCTTCAGAGGAGCTGCCAAGAAGTCCTTGTGTTAGTGTCAACTTCAAACAGCTTGGCTCCAGATGAAGTTTCAAGGAATCGTAAAGCTCTCTCAGGGGAGGTGTGAAAGCTCTTGGTTTCTTGTTGGGGATCTTACTATTTCTATGGCTATTTTGAGTATATTACTGAATTTCTCTTTATTTCTTAAGGATCTCAATCCTTATTTCTAGTTCCATTTTCTTCCCGCAGTTCTCCAATTTAGTAGCGAGGTTATGGAATTGAATGTTTTTTTTTTTCTTGTCGTTCGTATTTCCATACACTGTAGAGTAGTAGTCTTTTGATGGGAATCTGTAGGGGAGTGAGGGAGGTTATTTACAATAAGTATTTTTAAGCCAAAATGCCCAAGGTTTATTGTTGTTGTTGTTTTCCTGACATTTTCTAGACTGTCTACTTGATCAGTGTTTTAAGTTTTGAATTCTAATGGTGGAGTCATATATCAAAGGCTTGACTTATGTGGTAGAGAATATGTTTGTTCTTTTTCTCTCTAGGAAGAGAATCTATTGTATATATAGTAGACACTTTAGTCTACGGTTGGGTACATGACAGATCATTTGTATCCTTTGCAGTTTTAGAGCACATCTGTAAAAAACAGAATGGATATAAAAACTCAAAGTACTAAATTTAAAGTTTATACAGCTTCTAACTCTTAAGTTGATAAAGTGAATTCTTCCAATGTATATAGTTATTTAAAGTATGAATTTATAGCATTTAATTTAAATTTTGTTGCATTTGTGTTTCAGTATGAAAACCCATGGACAATCCCAAATATGTTGTCAATGACGAGAATTGGCTTGGCCCCAGTTTTGGGCTATTTGATTATCGAAGAAGATTTTAATATTGCACTAGGAGTTTTTGCTTTAGCTGGACTAACTGATTTGGTAAGTTGTACAGGCATTCCCTCTGTTTTGTTCCCCTTCCAAATCCCAGGACCTCTACTACACTGAAATAGCACGGCCTTCGTTTGCTTTTCTTTGTAAGGAAATCCTCAAGATGAATTTCACCTGATACTTTGCATAGGGACTTGTCTTTAGCATCTATGTGGGACTCTGTTATTCTTTATGTCATTTAAGGAAGGTAGTAGAGATTGTAGGGAGGCATGAGAGGGAGCTTTTTACTCTTGATTTTTAACTTTTTCATAAAAGAAAAACTCTTAGAAATTCCCGAAGAGCCAGGTATTTGTGTTAGAGATAGACATACTCTACGGCCATGCCACCTTGAACAAGCCCAATCCCATCTGATCTCAGAAGCTAAGAAGGGTCGGGCCTGGTTAGTACTTGGATGAGAGACCACCTAGGAAGACCAGGTGCTGTAGGCATACAAAATAAAAAAATAAGGGATTGTAAGCTGACAAGGTCCTTGCAATCTGTGAGGTCACCCAAGAATTGCCTCACCTAAAAAAAAAAATCTAGAAATAAAGGAGCTGTGAGACTATTTTCCTATTTATTGTGATAGAAATACTCTGATCTTCAGCAACAGTTTGTTTTACTGGTGGAGAGGGAAACATTGGGCCAGTTTTTGTGATCAGGGAGATTGTAGAGGTCAGAGCTCTGTTTAGGTTTATGCTGGTGGGAGGACATAGGCACTGCACAGATTTGGTCCTTGATTTCTCCTTACCCTGGTTCATACCCTGTGACCACCCAGCATTAGGCATCCTTCTTTCTTCTACTCCCTCAGCAGATGAACAAAGGCAAGAAAAGCTCCTTGATACCTCTGTTGGGGGTTGTTATTTGGGGGTGTTATTTGGCCTATCTCAAATTAGAACTTAGAAGATAATTTTATAACAGAAGGTTGCATTATGCGTAAAAAGGTGTTCATGGACTGACCAGCCATCATGATATATAACATTATTTGTATTTATTACCTACCTTGTTTCATAAGGGATTTGAAATGGATTATAAAACTACATGTCCTACAAAAACACAGCTGAGAGAAATAGGGAAAAGGTAGAGGAAAAATTTTAAATCAGGGCAAAGTTAGCATGTAGAAATAGGTACAATATATTCTTGTACAAGGCTAGTTTAGATCCATGTGAGTGTCCAGACAGGCAGTAATGATTTGGTGCCTCTTCGAACTGATTTATATGTGAAAAGCCTTGCTCAATATTTAGTGAGAAAAAAGAGAAACTCATTTTCTATTAATAAAAGTTGTATAGCATCTTTCTTTGTAACATCAGCTGTTCCCTTTGAAGTTCATAGAAACAAAATTCCACCTGCCCATTGACTGGTGAGCAGTATGGAATTAGCTGAAGATTTTGCAGGTAAACAAAGGGAGGGCATTTGCTTTGTTATATGGCATTTCCAAATATGCATCAAATATAGTCTCTCAAAATGGCTGCTACCTGTGTTTTTCCAGAGTTACCTCCTATTTGTCACAATTTCTCCCCATTCTCATAATCTCTTTTTCCCTGCTTTTATCTCTGAAGCCTGAAGACCTCTGCTGATTATTAATATATTCTCCAATTCTGTCCAAGGACATTATACTGATAATGGATTTTTTTTTCCGTAACAGACAAGATCTTTTTCTCTTACTGGATTCATTCTTTTTTTGTTTGTTTGTTTGTAGTTTTTTCTTAGCTGCCACATAAGATTGCAATAGTCACTGAATGAGAGAACCCTCATTTACATTTTCTAATTATGTAAGACAATGTCTGGAAACCCGAGTTAGCTGGTACCATATTTCACACTTATTCCACGGAGGTTTCAATGCCTCTAGAATGGCTGCTAGGCAGATGGCTGGACTCATGGAGGGTTTAAGCAGGGGAATGACAAGGTTTGATTTATGTTGTATATGGGAAATAAGTGGATTATAGGAAGGCAAGAGTGGAAGCAGAGAGCCTGGTTGGGAGCCTTACAGAAATCTATGGGAGTGGTGGTGGGAGTTTGGAGTGGGAGAGAAGTGAATGGGTTCGAGGTGTGTTTTGAAGCTAGAGTTGATAATGTTGATGGATTGGATATGTGAGGTGAGAAAAAAAGGAGTTAAATATGACTGGTGGGCTGTTACTGTTTTTTTCTTTTCACCAAGCAGGTACATGTAGGTTAACATTTTCTTTTCCGTGATTAGCAACGCTTAGGGTAGGGCAGAGTTTGTGGAAAAATACCAAGAACTATTATGCCTGTCCCCATAGAGGTATAAATTGAGTAGTTAAATATACTAGTTTGGAGTTGGAAGAAGTCATGATTAGAGATAGATTTGAGAGTTATCAGCATATAGATGGTCAAGTCTGGTGAAGTTATCAAGGCCAGTGGTCCCCAACCTTTTTGGCACCAGGGACTGGTGCTCCTGTGTGAATCTAATGCCTGGTGATTTGAGGTGGAGCTGAGGCGGTGATGCTAGCGCTGGGGAGTGGCTGCAAATACGGATGAAGCTTTGCTGGCTCACCTGCTGCTCACCTCCCGTGGTGTGGCCCAGTTTCTAGCAGGCCACAGACTGGTCTGTGGCCCGGGGGTTGGAGACCCCTGATCTAGGCTGCGATGAAAGAGGAGAAGGGATCAGAGAAATGAACAGTAAGTAGAGCAGTAGGGAAGGAACCAGTAAAGGACACTGAGATAGGAATAGCTGGTGAGAAAGGAAGAAAATTAGACAATGAGGTGTCCCAGAAGTTAAGTGAAGAAAGTGCTTTAATTTGTGTTGATGTCAAGCTGAAAATGTAGAATTCATTGGTGACTTTTATGAGTACCATCTCTAGAGGGTGGGAATCAGAGTGCGTTAGTGAGCAAATGTGAGGTGGTAATGGCAATAGACGTTGCTTTGAGGAAGTTTTGCTTTATGGAGCATAGAGAAATAGGGTCAAGGAAAGGTAGTTTTAAAGATACACATACTGGGGAAAATTATGTTGTTAATTAACTAGTTAATTAAATGGGTAGAAAGGGAGAGATTGATGTTGCAAGGGAGGTGGGGAAAGATGATGGCAACTCGTAAGAAGAGAGGGCCTGGGATCAGGGAAGGCAGAGAGAATGAATGGATGCCGGTAAGTGGTGGATTAGAAATGGGAATATGAGGGATTGCTGACAACCTGTTTTTATTTTTCAAGGAAATTATAGACAGTAATGAGTTAGAGTAGAGGCTTTGGGAGGGATGGAATCAGTTTGGGGTAAGAGCAGACAGTGTGAAAAGAGTAGATAAACACAGTAAGCAGGTGTAGGGTTGCCAAGCAGTATTGAGTGCCCACAGGAGATTTGTGGTCATGAATGTGAAGTGCGATCAGTCAACCTATTTATATGTTTTCCTTGATCAGTGTTCAACTGCTTGGGTTTGGGCTTGGCTGGAGTATATGGATAGTTGTGCTTAAGCAGGCTTAAGGCAGAGTGGAATAGGGGTAATAATAGTTATTTGCAGAGCAGTGATGATGACTTTGGAATCTCATGTAAGTAGAGGAACAGTGAGGATGAGAGTGATGATGGTGAAAAAATGGGAAGTTAAGTTCCCTGAGATCAGAAACAGCTGAAAGCTGTATCTTCCAAGGCCCTGATTTCTAGTTCTAGGCACTGTCTGTTAGCATTACATCTAATCTACTTAGGAAGAAAATAGATTGTTTCATTTGTGGTAATAATAGCTAGTAACTGCTTTTTTGGAGGGTTTACCAAGTGTCAAGTACTGCACAAGTATTAATCACATCATATGCTGAAGACATCCAACACCTTTGAGGTAGATAATACTGTCTCTGTTTCACAGATGAGGAAAACTGAGGCTTAGAGAGGCCAAATAACTTGCCCAAGGTCACACAGTAAGGTGGAGAACCAGGACACAAACCAGTTATGTTCTGCCGCAAAGAGCGAGTTCTTATCCATTGTCCTGAGCTACTGCTGTTTCCTCTAACTCAGATCTGGAGATATGGAGGACTTATTTATCCTGTGAAATGTACCATGTTAAATTACGTCTAAGTTAATTTGATATTTTTCTCTTGGAAATAGGACTATAAAATTCGAACATTTCTTGAAGCTTAAAGTTAAAAAAAATGAGTAAAAGCCAGGTAGGGACTTGGAAAACTAAAGACTATCTGCCTTGTTTAATGAGGATAGGCAGTACTTGGTTTCAGTCCATTTTGTGGCCCCAGGGTAGGCCTGGAGATCTGGGGTTTTTTTTTGTTTGTTTGTTTGTTTTTTGTGGTAAGACTTTGAATATTTAAATTTGGCAACTAATTTATATTTTTAAAAGCACTAAGCGGGTCATACAAAACTAGCCCTACAGGCCCCATTTGGCCCATTGGCAATCAGATATGACCTCTGGTTTAAAATATTTGTTTCCAAGAATAGTGAATAAGTAATTTTTGTACCAGAAATTTAAAGTAGGCCAGGTATAGAGGATTGAGTTTTTTCTTCAAATACAGGTCATGCGAATATAGCCAGTCATGGAATTAACAGTAGTACTAAACCAAAAAAAATAAATAAATAATAATAATAGTTAAAACTTGGGGATTTGGATCACATCACAGAAAACTAGGTAAGAGTTAAAGAGTCTCACAGGTAAATGGTAGTTCTTGCAAGTAAAAGCAGCTGTTTGCGCTGCAGTGAAAATTCAGCCCAAGGCTCAAGAGAGGGGCTCCTTGTCCACTCTTATCAGTTATGTTTTCTGTGAGTTTTATTGGGGTTTTTACATCTGTGTCTGGGTTCATCCCCCAAAGGGGCATTATGAAAACCAGAAATATAAGAAGGCTTCGGAAAAGAAAAGTACTATAGAAAAGTGAAATTATTTTCAGACCAGTTGGGAATTTAAAAGCTAACCATATACCAGTGAAAGAGTGAAAAGGTTTGGGGGTAAGAAACTGAAGATTTTATTTGCATATTTTGAAAGTATAGCTGTTATTCTGGTATCTCTTCAAGATATCTACTCTGTACTTATTATGAAATTTATTTTTTAAAAAAAACTTCTATTTTCAGTTGGATGGATTTATTGCTCGAAACTGGGCCAATCAAAAATCAGCTTTGGGAAGTGCTCTTGATCCACTTGCTGATAAAATACTTATCAGTATCTTATATGTTAGCTTGACCTATGCAGATCTTATTCCAGGTAAGAACGCCGTCATGCGTACTTTTTAATAGCACAGAGAAGAATGGTAGTAATAGCTAGTAACTGCTATGGACAAATAATTTTGTTTCAAAAATATATTTTTCAACTTTAAACTGTTTCCCTAATTGTGAACTACTGAACTGTTTGGCATGTCAAGCTTTAGAGTTTATATCCTTGTTATAATAGTAGAATCTGATGTTTTCTTAGTAAGATTGTTTATAGTTAAAATTGAGTAAATATTTCTCAGTGCCAATTCATATTAGTCTAGAATGTTTTGAAACTGTTATATTTTCTTAGTGCCTAGGTTTTTGAAAACAATTTAAAGTTTTCCTAAGTACAATTTAATCATAATAATTGAGAGCTCTGAAACCTTGAAGATTTCTAAAATTTCACATTATTATTACTTAGACACTATTATGCAGTTTCAAATCATGCATGTAGTATGTACATTATATGAATACTCTTTCTAACAGAATTTTATGATCTTGCTTTGTATTTTGCATGTGTTTTCCTGGTTGTTCATTTTCTACTTTAGCTGTATTTCTTAGTTTTTCACCCTTCTTCAGATTAAACTCTTTATTTCCAAGATTTAAAAATAGAATCTGAGAACACAAAACTGCCACATGGCCTTTCAATAGCAAGTTATATTGGCATTTGATAGAAAGAAGTGTAGGGGTGTTTCAGTCTAGTATAGTTTCTTCAATCTAGACATTCTGTTCCTCTTCTATCTTTAGGCTTTTAAATTTCCATACTAAATTAAAAATTGAATTGGACTTATGTTTATATTTATGTGCTTCTTTGAAAGTCAGAGTTGTGTGTATATGATTGGGGGTGTGGAAGGGGCAGGGGTAGTCTCATTCTAATTGCTATAAATAATTTGTAGGAGAAACGGGAGCATTCTGTTGACATTCAAAATTCAAATGATTTTGTGTACTTTTGTGCCTCCTATTTTTCAGAGTTACTTTCTTTTCTTTTTTTTTTTTGTATTGTTTTGCAAAGGTTAGCCAGGTATTTCCCTATTAAACAAGCATTGTTTCCAGGTTTTGGCATTATGGATAATGTTGCTGTGAGCTTTACCTAAATAATGAGTGTAGGTTGTTTTCCAAGCTGAAACTTCCCTTCACTATCATTCTGGAGATTTCCATTCTCTCTTTTCCGTGTTGAGTCTATTTTTCCAGGCTTCCATGGCTTCTTTGCTAAGGTCCTGCTTTTGGTGGATGGAGTGCAACCACTGTTTCCTGTGCAAGGTTGCAGCATGGCGGCCAAATTTTTAGAGCTCAAAAATATCTTTATTCTAAAGACATCTGAAATGTTTGTTACTCTGCTCTCCATACTTGATTGAAGTTCAAACTGGGCATAATTTTCAATTGCAGATTCTTTTCACTGAGAATTTTGAAGACCCTGTTCTGTAGACTTAAAGATTCCATATTGTTGTTGGGAAGTCTCATGCCATTCTGATAACCTTTTCCTTTATGTGTGATTATGTTTTGTATTGGAAGGCTTTTAACATTCTTTTTTACATTTTCCTAGTTGATGTTTTAAAAAAATTCTCTCTTAAAAATTAATTTTTGAACTGCTTCTATGGTTAATCCTAGTGCTTTTTATTGAAAAGTGTGTACTCTCTGCAGACTCTCTTCAACATCCATATATACATGGGTTCATTTCTGGGTTGTCTCTGTTTTCCCCCATTGATTGGTCTATCTTTGCACCAGTACCATCCTTTATTATTACTTTGCTTAAAAGTCATGCTATCTGGTAGAGCGAGTCGTTTCACCTTTGATATTCTTACCCCTTTCCATTTGTATGTAAATTTTAGAATCAGCTTTTCAAGTTCTCTGGAAAATTTGTTGGTATTTAATTGGAATTGCATTTAATTTATTAGATCTATGTGGAAGAATTGATATATTTACAATATTGAATCTTCCATTCCACAAATATGAGGTATCTGCTCTATTTAGGTCTTTTAAAAATGTCAAAATGTTTCAGAGGTAATATTCTTAGATTTATTCCTAGGTACTTACTTGATAGTTCTTAATGCTTTTATAAATGGTAGCTTTTTAAATATTTCATATTGTAATAACTGCTAATTGATAGATGAAAATCACTTCTAATGTTGATTTTTGTGTCTGGTAAAACTTTTGAACTCTTATTCTAATGATGTAAATGTAAAAGTCTCTTGGATTTTTTGTATCCTCAGTTATATATTGTCTATAATCAATGACAGTGTATGTCTTCTTTTCCAATCCTTTTAGCTTTTCTTTTACTTGCCTTACTATGCTACATGGTACAGAGTCGAACAGGAGTGTGGTGTCTGTGTCTTATTCCCAATCTCAAAAGGAATGCTTTCAGCATTTCACTATTATATGACATTTCCTGTAGAGTTTTGTAGATACCCTGATTTTTCAGGTTAAGAAAGTTCACTTCTATTGGGAGTTAGAGTTATTATAACAGGATATTGATTTTTATCAAATTCTTTTTTCCTTTGTGTATTATAGTCATATTTTTTTCCCTTTAGGCTTTTAATGTGTGGTGAATTACATTCTTGATTTTCAAATGTTAGACCAACCTGAAATTCTTGGTTCAAATCTAACTTGGTCAGGATATATTTAAATATTGCCGGATTTGGTTTGCTCATATTTTGTTGAAGATTTCCTATTTAGATCCACAAGATTGTCCTGGAGTTCTTTTCTCTGAACACCCTTGTTAGGTTTTAGTATCCAGTTTATACTAATCTCATAAAATGAGTTAGAGAATCTACCTTTTTTTGTCTGTTGGGAGACGTTTGTGTGAGATTTCAATTATTCTTTCTTTCAGTGTTTGGTAGAACTTTTTTGTTTGTTGAAGCTATCGAGGCCTGGAATTTTCTTTGGGAAAGAATTTTGAAATAGGTGATTCAGTTTTTAAAAAAATCATTACAGGATGATTCCGGTTTTCTGGTTCATGTTCTGTCTGTTTTGTAAGCTGTGATGTTTTTCTAGAAACTTATCCATTTCAGCTACATTTTAAAAAAATTACCATTAACCATCAATAGTATCCACATTAATTTTTTATGTTTATAGATGTAGTAGTGTGTCCCCACTTTTAACCTGATTATTAGTTATTTGTCCCTTATGTTTTTTTCCTGAATTGTCTTGCCAGAGGTTTGTCAGTTTTACCAACCTTTTCAAAGAACTAACTGGGCTTTATCATGGTTCTCTGAGGTGTTTACTACTTCGTTAAGTCTTGCTCTTTTATTTCTTTCTCCTCTTTCTTTGGGTTTCCTACGCTGTTCTTTTTCTAAATTCTTTAGATGGTTTTGTCTAGTAGAAATATAATGGTAGCCATATATGTAATTTGAAGTTTTCTAATAGCTGTGTTGAAAATAAAAAGAAACGGGTAAAATAATTTTAATAACATTTTATTTAACCAAGGAGATAAAAAATACTGTCAGTTCAATTGTATTCAATAAAAAAATAGCGAGTTTTTTTGATGCTATGTCTTTAAAAGCCAGTGTATAGTTTCCATTTAACAGCACCTCTAAATTCAGACCAATCACATTTCGAGTGGTTATCTTCACATGGGCAAATGCTGTTGTATAGAATAGCACAGCTGTAGGAGTATATTTAACTCATTGCTTTTCAGTTTATCTTTTCTAAAGTTTGCATTTAAGGCTGTATATTTTTCCCCAAATACCCCTTTTACTGCATCTCTTATGTTGGTAATAGCATTTTTTGTCATTATTGAGTTCAAAATATTCTGTTTTCATTATGACTTTTTCTTTGACCTGTGTGGCAATAAAAGTGGATTCTTAATTTGTAGGATTTCCTAGGTATCTTTTTTGTTACTGATTTCAAGCAAAACTACCTTGTAATCAGAGAACCAGGCTCTGATTTTAGGCCTTCAATCTAAGTATACAGTCAGATTTTATAAACATTTAAAGCATGCTTCAAATGAATGTTTATTCTATATTAGTTAGGTATGATGTTATGTATGTCCATTTGGTCAAGTTTTTAATTCTGATGTTTAAATGTTTCTTCACTGACTTTTTTTTTTTTGGTCTCCCTGTTCTGTCAGTTACTGAGAGAGTAAGTTAATGTTTCCTACTGTATGTCTAGTTTTCATTTTTCTTTGTACTTTTTTTTGTGTCTTTCGAAGTCATACTATTAAGTGTATATAAATTAAAATTGTTATGCCTCCTTGGTGAATTGAATGTTTTTTTTTTTACTTGGAGTGACCATCTATATCTGTAGTAATGAGTTTTGCTTTAAAGTCTCTTTTGTGAAATATTAGTACATATAGTTACACTAACTTACTTTTGGTCATTGTTTGCATGATGATAAATCTTTTACTTTCAACTTTTCCATATCTTTATGTGTTAGCTATCTCTTATAAATAACACATACAGAGATAGGTTTTCTTTATTTTTTTCCAGTATAAAAATATTTTATTTTTCAATCAGAACATTTAATCCATTAACATTTACTATGAGTACTAATATTTGTGTAGCAATCTTCCATTTTATTTTGTGTGTTTTATTTGGCCCATATGTTCTGCCCTACTTTTATTTATATTTTTTATCATTACATTTGTTTTCCCTGTACCAGTTTGAAAGTTTTACACTCTTGTTTTCATTTTGCTATTCTCAGAATTATAACATTCATCCTTATATGTCAAAGTTTAGCAAACTCTTTGCTCATTATGGGCACTGGAAGGGCCTTGGAATACTTCAACTCCCTTTCTTTCTCAACTTAGGTTATTGTTGTCATACTTTAATTTATGTATTTCTTAAACCCTCATGATATTGTTTATAAAATCAGTGTTCATTAAGGTTTATCTTTATATTTACTTTTTTTTGGAGTTTATTTTGTTTGATGTATTTCACACCTTCCATGTGGAATCATTTTTCTTTTGCATAAAGTGTATCTCCAGAAATCCTTTTAATGCAGATCTACTACAAGTGGTACATTCTTGTCTTTGTTTCTCTGTAAATATTTTTATTTTGCCTTTTTTTCTTTTTTTGT